CTCAGAAAGGGGGATACAGCCATGCCACTGAACTGCCCCAGGATCCACCCTGGGATCAGGCCCAAACATAGTAAGCGATCACCATGAAGAGCCATGGCCTTGATCTCAGTTTATGGAGTGATGCCCAAAAATAATAAAAATAGTCAGTTTGGTCAGTGTGAAAGCAAAATTATTTACCATACCTGGTACTAGTGTTTTCTGTCTAGATAAACTAATTTTAGAACATGTTTAATAGCTCATCAATTGACTGATAAGCAGAAAGCGTCAAAACAAAATTTAAAGTTTGCCTCAATGTTATTGCACGTCTCCTAATTTGAGTACTGCAACAGACAGAAAATCCCTGTTAATTTTCTCAACGCCACACCTTAAATTATATAATTACTCCCCTGAGTCATCTTTTGTCCAAGATAAAAAGACATAGCCTATTTAGTCTCTCCTTGTAATGTGAAAACCTCTCCACACCCTTGACCATCCTTGTTGCCCTTCTCTGTACCTCTGGTACAGAGGATGATATTAGCAACAGGTTACATGCCACATACATTTCCTAGAAGTATTTTAGGAGTCTGCTACTCAACTAAAGGGGAAAATGTTTTTAGATGCACTACTTATCTTGGTATTTTTAAGATCTCTATTCATAGTAGTAAATACAACCAAAATCACATAGCAAACATTCTGCCCGACTACCCTGTCCCCATTGGCCTTGCAGCGGACCAAGGGGCCGTGTCATTTCAAATTCTCCATGGAATTTATTGAAGAAAACCAATGAAATGGTTTTCACTCAGAAAGCTGAGTAAAAGAAGTGGAAACTCCACTTTCCAGCACAGCGCTTGCTAAAACTGGCACCTATGCTTTAGTGAAAGGACTGGAATAGAGATATGCTGGTCAGGAAAAATTATGATTTCCTTATTAAAATAATTAACATTTGTTACCCTTGAGAAAGTAATTCACCTATCCACTCCTAGCAAGTAGGAAACTCCCCTAACAAATACCGAAATAAAAGCCCTCAATCTCAGCAATGTTTAAGGTTTCATTAAAAAGTCGCCTGCACAGCTGCAAGAAAACAATCAGGTATGAAATGACCATAAACTGCAATGGAACCATTTGGGGCACACAAGTGCAATCTTCCAAGTGGCGGGAGGTTCAAAGGACAGTAGCAAAATCAAGTGTCAGTCCCTTTCACTCTGTTCCTGTTGAGGAGAGGGGCAAAGAGCTGTGAAGGCAGGGGCTGAGTTACTAGTGGGGGGGAAGAGCAGCCTGGGGTCTCCCAGCAGCCAGAGGAAGGAGAGAATTAAGGGCTCCCCAAGTGACAGCAGACATGGGTCTTGGGGTAAATCCCGTATCCTTTATTAGAGTTACTAAAATAGTTGGAAAAATTCTTTGTTGCAAGCTTTCGGGTACAAACACTCGCCCGTGCTCAGGCCCCAAGCGATAGGGCATGGGTGCAGCTACACGCTCAGCAGCTAGGACGAGGGCACAGACTTCACCCCGTGAAGCCCCTTGCTTCGGCCCGGGTGAGAAGTGGGGGGCAGCTCCGGCTGAGCACCAAAGCTCCCCCTCAGCTGCGGGGCCGGCGCCGCTCCCCCGGGAGGACTAGCAGGGGCCGTCCCCAGCCCAGGCCAGCCCAGCCCGGTCTGCA